GGTGGGGGGCGGGGTGAGATATTAATTTTTAATTTCTTCATGATTAAAACAATCAAATGGGCCATATCCCCAAAACCAAATCAAAATGGTGATCCTGGTTAAGGAACTTTCCTGAAGATGATTATTGTGTATTGCCAATTTGCCATGAGGAACCTCCATACCAAGCCACTAATGAGATATTTTATGAAAAAAAAAAGATTATTAAGGTCTTTTTAATGTTATTTACCTACAATTATTTTGTTCACAGTCCACTTTATAAAACAACTAATCAATTTGTCATCCTATTCTTAGGGAGGTAGGGCTAACAAACACAATAATTTAATTAAGGAATAAAAAATTGGATGTTAATTTAAATAAGTAGGAAAAAATTGAGAAAAAAAATGGAGGAAATCAGGAAAATGAAGAAATGTGTCTCATTGCATCAAAACTTTTCTTCTAGATCCTGTATTCCCAAGATGCAAACCTCAGTATCTTATGTCTGAGCCCTCCACTGAGTTGGAGACCGGAGAAGAGACAGAGATGAACTGCTAAGCTGGAGTTGGAGAGATAGAATTGACAAAAGGGAGAGTCAAAGAGGAGAGAGTCGATGGAGTCTTGGAGAGAGACGATGAAGGGCAGCCACAGAGGAGACAGGAGAGACTGTCGAAGGATTCTGCGTAACGATGAGTCAACAATAACAGAGCTTCAAGATGACGACAACTTGACATTGGAGCTTTAGGAGGTTTAGGAATTGTGGTTTCACATTTGGATTTAGGGTTCAAGCAGAGTCTAGGGTTCATCTTCAAGCCTTTGACAAGTTTTGAGAGGTCAGAGAGGGGGAGAGTTAAAAGTTAAAACGAATTTTGGAATTTTGAGTCTTTTGACAGATTATTTAATTATTTTATAATATATATATATATATATTTATATATAGTATAATTAGAAATATTGATATTATATATAATATTATTTAATTATTTTATATTATATATTATATATATTTGGTTTGATTTCTAAGGGCCCGTCTGGTGCGTCTTTTTGGAAAGATCTTTTGGCAGCTTTGACAGTCAAAAGACTCATTGATCTTTTGGATGAAGATCTGAGAAGCCTTTGGCAGTATCACATCTTTCCGTGCGAGAATAAAACGTTTAAGACGCGAAAAATTTCATTTGGAGCTTCCCGAAATCAGCCCAAAATGGGCTTTTTGCGTCTTTTCAGCGCTCCGACTTTTGGCAGCTAGATCTTCTACGAACCAAATGGGAATAGGCAAAAAATCGGTCTGTCTAGCTTGTAAACAGCCGAAAGACCACATGGAAAGATGCACCAAACGGGCCCTAAAATTCAGGATCAAATGAAACCAAAAAAATTGAACTAAACTGCCAATTTTAGTTTGGTTCAGCTCAGTTTTGCAGTTTGGACCAAGGTTAAAAATATCGATATGGGACGATATGCCGGTAGGGGCCGGTCTACCCCTGAACCACTCGCCGACCCGAAGGGAAGGCTCTAATACGATACATATCGACCAATACGGGCCGATACATGACGAAATTCTAATCCTTGTTTGGATTATATAATGAGTACCCCTACTTCATGTGATATATAATGGGGGATGATACGATAACCCATCTCCCTATCCATAATCCCCCAACCCCAATCCTGGTGAGTGGTGAAGTAGGATTTGATGCCACCATAATTCATAGGTGGTTTTTTTGGTTTTCATGGTAATGGGATATGATATGAGAGCCCGTCCCCTTCTCTCTCCCCTACCCATAACCCCACAATCCTGTTGACAGCTACAAACAGCAGAGACGTTAGCACTGGACCAGTTGGCAATGTCATAGATTCATAGGTGAGTTTTTTTGTTGTTGCCTATTTTGAATATTTGATGGACGGGATTTCCTAAAAGCAAAAAACTCTGAGAACACTTTATAAGAACGGGCATCCGACTGCCCTGCACATTGGGAATAAATCTCCCCATGAATTTAAGATAAATGTATGAAAGATATTCCTGCTGTACGGCTGGATTTCATGTTTTCAGAGTTATTTTATAACATGGACTCATGTTTACAAATTGGATGGCTTTATAAGGTACTGGTGTCTTGTTAAGATGACAGAATATCATTAAGGTGGCGTTTGATAAATCTGAAAATTCAGATCTGAAAAGTTAAAAAGATATTAAATGTATCTAAAATCTAAAAAGAAGTATAGTTGTTTTTCTACTTTTTAGAAGATTTAAATCCATGAATTTGTTTGTGTTGGATTTTACCATCTGAAATTTATTGATTTTACTATTTTACCCCTAAAATATATAATTTGAAAATGTTGAATTCAATTTACATTATCTCATAAAAATAATTTTCAACCTCAAAATAATATTGAAGAAATATAAATAAAAAATAAAAAATTAATAAATGAAACAATTAAAATTAAAAAAATAAATAATGATTATAAAAATATTAAAATAATTAATAATTTACACATATAAAAATTAAAATAATTTTTAAAATTTATTATTTAATAAAAAATAATTAATGTTTAATAAAAAATATTAAAATAATTAATAATTAATAAAAACATTATTATTACTTCACAACTGAACCACCACTATTACTTGCAACGGCGGTGGCGGTGGTGGGAAGACGAGGGAAAGAGAAAGAGAGAGAAGACAGGGAGAGAGAGAGAGAGCCGTCGCTGCAAAGTAGCATTTTTAGATTCAAACCTCTAAAAAGTGTAATCAAATGGCACCTAAGGGTCTGTTTGGTTTTCTGAAATAGGTGTTTGGAATTGAAATTGGAATGGACCTATGTGTTTGGCACTTGGCAGGAATGGGATTCTCCCATATGGGAGAATGGCCATTCCAGAACCCCTAGGGAATGGAATTCTCATTCAAGAGTTTGTAAAGAAGTAAAGAATTCATAACAAAAAAACCCAAACCCTAATATTAATAAAACAACAATAACAACAAGTATAATAAAATATTAATATAGTGTAATTAAAGTAATAATAAAATACTAACATATTAATGAATAAATAATAAGAAATATAAGAAAATAATAAAATATTATTAAAATAATAATAGATATTAATAAAATATTCATAAATTAATAATATAAGATATTAATTATTAAATACTAATAAAGTAATAATAAATAGATTAATATAAAATTCAAAATTTTTGGCTAATTCCGATTCCAACTCCAAAGTGAATTTCCTTTTTGAAGCCTGATGGTAATAAGTGAATTGAATAGAACAGAATATGGTTGAACCATTGAAGTAATAAGATGGACAGACTTACTAATTGATGAGAGAGAGAGAGACCTGAATGCCTGATCATGAGAGTATTCTCTTAAAGAAAGGATCATGAGAGGTGTATGTGATTCATTACACTTTTCTTGTGTAAAGAGTTTCATTTTCATGTGAATATGAACATATGATTATGTGATCAGAAGTTTTCCTTACCTTTTTGAAGGGGATGTGATGTTATCATATGATTATCGCCTTTACGTTTCAAGGTTTTCTTTTGTATCACGTACACGTACCTTTATTATTGCTCAATAAATTAATTACCATAAGCATGAGGCACCTCACCGTGAGGTCCTCACCACAAAATAAAAATATAAACAAATATACGAATATGTTGGATAATTCATTGGCTTGATCTTTTGGTGCTTTCCATTTTCACATTTTCATATGAAATATTCATTAGAGTTGCCGCCCAAATAATGCAGTCATTCTTTTGGTTTTATTTGGAAAGAGTACAAATACAAATATGTACAATACAGATACATGAAAAATAATATAAAATACAAGATTTTACACTACATTTTTGTATTTGTATTCCTTTTAAACTGAACTTTTGGCTCAGTTTGAAAGGAATACAAACACAAATATGTGCTGTATAAATACATACAAAATAATACCAAATGCAAAGTTTTGCATTCTATATATTTGTATTTGTACTCCTTCAAAATGGAGCCTTTAGAGAAAATCCAGGCTACCAAAAACGACTCAAATAATTGAGTGGTGCAGGATTTTGAGTTAAAACTCAAAACCCACTGTCTAAAACTAAATCTCATTTGGAAGTGGAAGGTTCAACGCACTACTCCCATTCAATCTACTCATGCTAACAAACCATGGTATAAAGTATCGGGCGTATCGTATCGTATCGTATCTTTTGAAAACGATATGCCTCGAAACGCCTGTTTCCAGGTGTTTTGGAACTCCAACGTTTTTTAATAATTAAAAAAAAAAAAAAAACTTCTTTTAGCTTCTGAAAAAACCAAAATTTGAAAAAAAAAAAACTTAAAAAAAAAGTGTTTCGGGCGTTTTTAAGTACCGATACTATACTGGCATTTTGAAACATACCTAGGCAAAGCAGGTCGTCAAAGTACAAAAACCCTAGCATGAGTCATCAACTTTTTGAGGGATCATTTTGATAAAATATCAACAAATTTCAGTATCTGTAATTCCAGATTATGCATGTATTGCGTCCTTTTTTTTTCCATTTTCATCTTGCCGTTGAAAAGATGTCCATTAAACAAAGCTCATGTCATTGCCACTGAACAAATTCTGAATGAAAAATAAATTACAGTTGAAGCAGTATAATGCCATACATTTACAAGTACACAAGAAATCAATTAAATAAATCAAGGCTTCAGTCCAATAAAATGGCCTCAATAGCAGAATTAAGTGTCACAACTAAGGCAGAACCGAAGATGCCTACTTTGCTAATTGCTAGTTGCTACCTCATGGACCTGACATCAAATCCCAAGGGTTAGTCTGATGGATAAAAAGTCTACATCTGACACAAAAATGCCAAGTAAAATTTTCATATTGTGGACATCCCTTAAGGCTCGGCATGATAATTCAATCAGCATAGCACATTTAAGGACTACAATCTTCAAAATAAGCAGTATATTTATATTTCTCTTGCTGGACTATTACTTGGAATAGATATTCTAGCAGGAAGAAAAATTATCATGTCGTCATAATTAGAGCTGCAACTTGGCCAGGCTCGTTTGAGCATTTGCAGAAATCTGAACGGACAAGGCCCGACCAGATGCTGTGTAAATTCTTCAAGTTTGGGCATCCAACTTGCAGCTCTAGTCATAATCATTGAATATGTTGAGTTCTATGTTGTGGTTCCCATCCAAGAGAGGGCCCACCAAGTAGGTCCAAGTTCCCCCCCTGCATGGGCATCACCAGATTTGGACCTACAGCATGTATTCCTAATAGGAAACAAGACTCTAATGCATTTGATACTTACAGCACGAGTACCTTCTGTGGTGTTGGAGAGATACAAGCAGCATTACCTACTACATGTCTTCTTCCAATAAGCTCCAAATCATCCTATTAATAAATATGCACAAAAAGTCTTTACATATTCAGTTTTCAGCTGGTTAAAACACTTCCAACCTTAAGAACAGCAAGCTTTTTTGTAGCAATACCAGAATATGGTCAAGAAGACAAGGACAATTAAATAGACAATCTTAGCAAGCCGTTGCTTCTTTTCCCAGTTAAGCATGTTGAAAATCTCAGTCACATCTACCAAGTGCTGCCTCCGTGAATACCTGGATATTGAAAGTTGAAACATCAAATTAAACTGAAATGATAGTGCCACAAAATAGTTACTCTATCTAGGCTAAATATCAGGTGGAGTCGATGATCAATCCAGTATGCAGCTGCTGGTCAAACATTAATTATTATAAGTAGGGAATAGCTGTTCTGGAAGGCGGTCCCTTGGGGAACTAATTGTAACAAGGAAAGTGAATATATAGTATGAGCGGCAGGTAGTTAGGGCTACCTTATCCTTATCAGATGGGGTCCTTAGCAGAATCCTCCTTTTTTTTTGATAAATTAGCAGAATCCTTTTTGTACATCATTCTTTTTAACGTATTAATAAAATCCTTGATAGTTATTGACAAAAACGATTAATTATTGCACATGTTTATCACTAGTTTAACTTTTAAAAACAATATCTTGGGAGATCAAACATGTTCCTTAGATGTATTTTAAGCTTTTTCCTATTTGTAGAAACTGAACATTGAATCTTTTCAACTCCTGATCAAGCAGTAAAATATGGTTTTTAAACCATTCAGCTTGTGACTTACCGACCTTAGCAAGTCAACATCTGGTCCAGCCCTCACAACATTGTATATGCTCCACCTTATTATAGTTGCCTTCATTTCTTCACTTTAGTCTTTATTTGTATAGGGGAATGTTGAATAGCTACTGATTTTAAATTAGGACTTAGGGATGTTTGTAGCCTTTCTTTCTATTTTCTACATAGTACTCACAGTCCTAGTTTCTGACTTTGCTGAGTAATGTTGAGAGTTTGGCTCACAAGAGAGAGAACATGGGTTTGCATCTGGATAGCAGCCACTCTGTGCAAAAATATGCTGAAGGTTCATATCCAGCCTACCTTTTTCAAGACAATAGATGGCAGGCAAGGACCAATATTGAGTAATGACACTTACCAGTGTTGAGGATCAGGCATTCCACCCTAATTGGCCCATATGCAGCCCAGCTTTTGAAGACCCTTACCAGTGTGGGTCCATTTGACCAACGCATGAGTGGTTGTAGGTTTGTACTCATGCTGTCCAATCTAATCTCAAGTTCTAGAAATTCAAGTCGTCTGAACTGGATTTCTAGCCTCTCTATATCTGATACTTTTTAGTTCACAGGAACCAAAAAAAAAAAAAATCCTACGAGTGCTTTTTATGTGTGTACTTTGACGGGTTGTGGGTAGAGGACTTACATTCTCACATTGTAGTACAGATATGGAAGGCACAAGAGAAACATAAACCAATGCCCTGATATGAGAAAGAGGGTGCATAGGGCCCCTTGCGTGCCAAACTCTGGAAAGACCACACTATTTATCCGTCTTGCTGAATCATAGGGATTGATATAATCAAATTCTAGGTCAGCCAAGCATATAAGCTGCAAGAAATGTGTTTCATGTCAGAAGTTATGTTTTTGTATGTTGAAAATGGATAGCTAAAACAAACTAAAGAAACAAATAGGCCAGTGCTTAAACCTTTTTTTCTAATTGAAAGTGCTTAAATTAATATATATGTTGAACACTATATAGCAAGATAAAAAGAACACTAAGCATATGGATTATACTTATAAAAATAACACTAAGCATCTGGATTATACTTATAAAAATAACACCACATTATAGAAATTTAATAAATGACCCTTTTTTCTTATTTCAATAAATGCTACAAATACTCCCATGGAACTAAAGCAAGAAGATGAAAATGAAGCAGATAGAGTTGAATATGCATAATATAATGCAGAAAACCCGCACAACCCTCCCTTGAGAGAGTTGAATATATTTGTAGAAACAATTATAACAATTACATTAGTTTAGCCAAAAGATGAAAAAGTATCACTATCAACCACATTTCATGTCAGAAAGAAAAGAATATACAGTGAATCTTCTCATTAATTAAAAACCCTGCTTCTATTTGCTTCTTATCAGCATCAAAATACCAAATTAACTTTAGTTCTACAGAACAAAACCAGTAGCTTCCAGACTTTTTTTTATCAGTAACTTCCAGACTTCTAATCTTACCTACATCTACAAGGATCCGTTGTTTCTTTAAAGATAATAAGTTGCCTAGAGAAGTAAATGGAGAATTTTACATGAATAATTTCACGACTTTCTTAAGACACTGGGATGCTTGTGTCCGAAAAGCTCGAGTCTCTACAGGAAACCGTATAACTAGAAAGGAAGAAAAAGAAATAACCACTAAAAAGAAATAATAAAATCCTAAATTATGGAATACAAGGTAACACTGATAAGATTGTGAATTTGTGATAAAAACAAGTAATTCATTCTAGAATAAGTGTAATTTCTCGTCAAGAGGCTACAAAACTTGAAATTATATATTGGAAAAAAAAAACATAACATAAATTGAATAGGCAGAGACACAAAATAGTGAAATACAATTAATGAATGAGAAATGTAAAAAAAAAAGCAGTGAAAAATAATATTTTGTCTAGGGTTTTGAATGACCTGGTAGATGATAAAGCCGATCAGAGCTATGAGGAGAAAGAAAGACAAGAGCCATGAGAGAAGACTCCAATCCATGCCCCCGCTTCCCTCTCCCTTTCTTTTGCCCTTAATTTGACAATACCATGCGACCCGCTCAGTCGCTCACTGACGCTGGCGCACCACAACGATACTCCCCCAAGCTCCCCCACTCAGGCTCCTCCCATCCCTTTTAACCATTTCCCTGTCCTGGTCCGACCGTTTAATAAATAATAACTGAGGCTTCCATAATTCCATTAACAAGATACGAATATAATAACCCAAGGCTATAAAATAAACCGGATGCGTAACAGACGCACCACTGGCTCCACTTGAGGAGTGAGGAGGACGAAGACAACACGAGCTGTCCTCCTCGAGCTAAGATTGCGGGAAAGAACCTCAGCAATCATCGGGAACCGTCCGATTGTAATATCTGATCTCAACTCCAAAACCTTTTGTAAATTACCGTTTGCCCATTATTAGAAGTTTAGAACAATTTTGCCGGCTCTGCACGTAAAGCACCCTGATCCCTGGTTGTCGTTTGCTTCGAATGTAGGGATTCGAATTTCGAACAGGCTACTGGGTACTGGCTACCCGAACACAAACTCACAATCACAGTGATGGATCAATTGATCATCGATCCATTTGGATATATGGAATTTAGATTGTGGGCTGGTGAGTGGTGACGTTGGTTAATGGGCTTCTCGGTATTTTCATTTTTTGAAAGCCAAATTGTAGTGAAGAGCAGGTTTTTCAAAAATATGGAACAGACGAGATGGTTTCACAACTTTCATATAAAAATATAGTGTTAATATTATGATTTAAAAGGAAAATGCTTTATAATATATTCTCATAAAGCAATACATATTTATGTTTGTATATTTGCATATTTATTTTAATAAAATATATATGTTTTTACATATAAAATATGTGGACTTTCGGTGTTTATACCTTTTAGAAATAACGTATCAAATAATTTATATTTTCGGACAATATTTTTACCTCATAATGTGCTTGACATAACATTTTATCATATAATTTTGGGTTATTATCTGAAACTTTCCTTTACTTTTCCAACTTTCTCTTACAATTTAATATGAACTTTCACTGTTGAGCTTGAGCTAAGTTGAGCTCAAATATATGAATTTTCGGGTCGAACTAATACTAATAAAGGTGGATTATGGAGGTATTAAAAGGCCATAATATATTCAAGAGAATGTCAGAAAAGTGAAGAAGAGTTAAATCATACATGCCCTAATTGGTGGTTTTCACCATTCATACAAGTCATTTTAAAGTTCATAATTTAGATTTTAAAACTTAACTACGAAGTTCGGTTTTAACCCTAAAAAAACTACGAAATTGGGTTTAGTTTGCATATGTGACAATGTGTTTTAGGCTGATTTTTTTTTTCAAAAATAGATGATTGGGAGAGTATTTTTTTATTATTATTTTGGTATTAATCAACGCGTGAGAGTCTGGATCTGCTCCTCACTGTACAGCAACTAAGGTTGCCAACAGGCCGGGTCTAGGTAGGGTCCAGGTAGAATCGGAACCGGCCCGACAAGAAATATTAAGGACATGGAAACAAAGCACACCCGGTAGGGTCTGTAATTTTAGACCCCAAATTGAACCAATCGGTTCTTAGGACAATCGGGATTAACCCAATGGACCCAATTATAATATACCTAAAAAAATATAATATATGATATTATTTTTAATATATTATACATATATATATATATATAGGTCGGGTCAGGTCTGAATCATTTTGGGACTAGACAGAATCGATAAGAATTAGAACAATATATCAAGATCCAGAATCGACTCATAAGTTCTAGTTCCTGGAACCAAAACCAACCTAATCAGTTTGGGTCCATCAGGTCTATTGAGCCCAAACTGACCCATTTACAGCCCTGCCCTACCAGTCGCACATTGGGAACATCTCCCATAATTTTATATTATTATTCATGGAAGATGTTCCCAATACACAACGAAATGTGGTTGTGAGGTCGGTGTGAGGAGCACATCCCAATTCGATGCCCAAATCCCTTGTAGGAGTCGTTACTTTTAAGATTATGAAATCATCACACCAAATTGTGATTTGCTCCTCACATTGACCTCACAACCACATCCTAGTGTGTATTGAAAACATTTCCCATGAATAATAACATAAGTACCTCGATGTGCAACTGATACATGTTATGAGGTCGGTGTGAGGAGTGCTCCGTGAGAAGCAAATCTTAGAGAGCATACTCGAACTCCATCACACCATTTTGGTATTCACTCATAACTTTTCTTTTAAAGTCGATGGTTGAGGTTGATGTTTTAAACCAGTCGTTGACCCAGCCAGTTGAATTGTTCGAATCATCACCCAACCAAGATTCAAGGTCGGATTTTGGTAAAACCCAAAAATGATAAAAAACTGTTGACTTGGTCACAAACAGTCTTACTTGGATGGTTGGACCATTGACCCATTTGACCCGAGTCACAGGTTGCACATTAAATGTGTATTGCAAACTTTTGGAGGCCATAACTTTATACTCTGATATCCGATTGAGATGTTTTTTTATTTTTTATTTTGGGTAACTTTTCAAGATCTATACGTCTCAAGGCCCTACTATTTTACAAAAAAAAAAATCTCTTTGTTGTCCTCAAATTATATTTTTAATATTTTTTACAAATAAAAAATTAAAACAGAATTAAAAATATAAATTAAATATAAAATAATACATATATTACATTGGTTGGAACAAATCAGCCATCATACCAACTGACCTAGCCCTCGGTTGGAGACTATTTTTGAGAGCCCCCAAAAAATTTGCCACGGGTTATATATCTTAGGCTATTTTTGGTTTGATAGAAAGGAGAAAGAAAAAGATGAGTTTCTATCAAACCAAACATAGTCTTAGGGAACCTCAGATTTTACCACCAGGGCTTTGGATTGGACCTCGTCCAATCCAAAATCAATTTAAACGGAACAAAAAGATAGTAGATTGAACCAATTTGGTCCAAAATATTAATTAAATTGGATTGGACTTGGTCCGTCCGTCATAAATTTATATTGGATTGGGTTAGATTAAGCCAATATTTGATCCATTGATATAAGATAGAATATAGGTGTCAATGGACTGATTTTGGGTTGACACCGATCTAAATCAAAGCGAATTTGATCAGATTGAACAGTTCAAATATTAAATTGGACCGATCTAAAATGGTCCAAAATATTCATTGGATTGGACCGGATTAGATTGGACCAAATCCAGTCCAATTGACACCCCTACCTCCGTCCTCCGGGTGGATCAGCTTTCTCCACCAAAAGAAGATTAAAGAAAGACATTAAATCTACTTCCATTAATAGTATTCTCAATTAAGGAAAGACAACCCCAAATGTATACGCTATAATGCTAATCCTTATTACCCTCGGCTTCTAACAGGCCGGTAAGAGCTAACCGGGACTGCTTTGCTTCTGCTATAGTTCACTGTGAGCCTCAGCCCATATGATCTCTACGAAAATACCAACCCAGTAGTAGCGTTTGAATTTGCGTCCACCTTGAGTTTTACTCAACCTTGAGTAGTTTCTCCCTCTGAAGGCGCACCCATCTACCCAGAAGTATCAGTGGATCTATATGGTTTTCTCTCCATATCGCCATACAGAGAGCAAAGCAGCTGGTCCAATAGGCAAATCGATTTCCAGGATGCTTCTTACAGTTGGTAGAGTTCTTGATGAGGCTGAGAGGCATCATCCTACATAGAAACATGGTTATTTAAGAGGGCAGATGTTTGATGCTCCATGGCATTATGCAAGCAGACTGAAAGAGAACTGACAGAGAGAGAGAGATCGCACTTAGACGAGCTTAAGCTTTCACTAATTTTTTTTTGGTAAAAACTAATTTTACTGTATCCACAAAGTTTGCCAGCCAGGTTGGCAAGGCTTCAACAAAACTACCAGATTCAGTTTTTTCCCTTTTTACAGATTACTCTTTACACAGAAAATAAGCTTCTCGGGCAGCTGCGGGGATCTGATCTTTCAGAGCCTTAATAAGAGTTGGATTATCACTTCTTTCACTAGTTAATATTTACAAGATTGAACCACATTGTGTTCAATTATCAAAATTGCTGTACAGATTCTGTGCGCATTATCTATAAGTGATTAAGTAGTGTGACAGAATTTCAGATGGATGAAAAGATGGAATGAAGAGGAGAATGAGATTAAGATTTAAGATAGCTAGGGTTAGAGAGGTACACTACTACAGCACGAAATCCATGAATGCTGTACATGGAAACGATGGCACAGTCGTCTTCTTTGCTTGGTCCGAGCACAACGAATTGACAGAGATGTCTGCCTTTGGACACAAGAAGAAGTTCCTAGAACCCAAGTTGCTCAACTTCTCCTTGGGGTTTAATCTTTCCAAGCTAAACTGCGAGTAATGAAGCCCGAAACGCCGAGGATCTGTTTCAGGCAATAACGGTCTTCTCTTCTCTCTCAAGTAAATACGTAAAACATTCTCTGTTAAATCTTCAACCGTGTTGTCCAGAGACATAACCACATGAATAGTTCCCAATCTCCCTTGGATAGTAACATTGAGGAGAAGCTTCGTCAACCTCTGACCCACGTTGTCCGTGGAGACAGGTTTTCCGATGACGGAGAGGAGGTGGCCACCACGTCCTTGGAGGAATTCAGGATTGCTTTCTAGCCGTTTCATGGGTGCCAAGTTGCCGGAACCCTTAGGAAGACGACCGTGGAAGGAAGCCGATTTGGGAAGGGAATATGCCGTCGATGCCAGGTGAAGAAACGAGAACATATCGTTAGAGCTCAGAAATAAGAATTGGTAGTGGCTTGAAGGTGACTTGTGCTGTTATCTGTTGAAGGCCATTTCACCTCGTAGTTCGAACTGAGAAATAGTCGTTGGGCAAGAAATATCTGCTACAGTCACTGGCCTATCCTTCGGCTATATTGTAAATCACGACCCTCGAATGACCCCTCCTTGAATTGATAACATGACGTTAATGCGGAATCACAAGTCACATTAATGTCTCAACGGTTGTGATTTCAACGCTTTAAATCAATATAAAAATTTCGGGAGTAGTAGATTTTACCTCGGTTTGGGGCGGGGCCCGACGAAGGTTCGCTGGAGCATACACATGTCGGGTTTTTGGAATTCGGAAACAAAGCAATTAAATGAGGAAGGTTCAAGGAAGGCGATATCCTCGTAACCTAACTTGATTACGAATAAGGTCAATAGTAGGGTCATTTACTTGTACACCTGTTATAATTTGGGGTAAAATAACCCCCCCCCTCAAGTTTCTGACAATCATAAAAGTCTCTTCTATAAATTTTATTTTAGTGAAAACATCCCTTGAATTTTTAAAGATTTTGACAAAACCTCCCTTCCGTTAGTGATTCATACGAAAAATCAATAAAATTATAAAATTACCCTTGATTAATTGTTAGAGAGTCAATAAAATATTTTAAAATGTCAGAATTGCCCATGCTTGCCTTTCCTCTCTCAATAGAAGAGAATGGCGTGAAATCCTTCCCCCAATCTCCCCTCACTGGTTTTTGTCATTGATTTCATCATCATCATCATCTTCTTCTTCATCCCCATATCTCCAATCTCTTCCATCGAATCGATTGAGTTGGACCAACCTGAAAGGCACCGTTCATCTTTTTCACGGTGGTAGTGAATAGAGTTTCAGCAATTGATCATCAGAGTGTTGAGCTTAAACGACCATTAATGGCGATAACGGTTAAAGTGCCCATTCGTATCGATATTCAATACAAATAGACCTGCAGCAAGCCAACAACGATTTCAGCATCCACGTCTTTGTCCGTCTGTCTAAAGGGAAGAAAAAGAGTGTTGATACTTTTGCCTTTTAGCCATTTTGTATTGACTTACTTGGAGGGATTAGTCTGTTAATTAATTGTTGGACAGCTAGGGTTTCTGCTATATGTATTTTCGGATCACGCCAATGGAACCATGCACTAGCGATCGACTTGGTACCTCTGCGTCATCTCTATGTTAAATTCATGAAAGCAGATTCTAAGAACTTGATGTTGTGATCCTGTAATTAGGTGTTTGTGGATGTATGTTGTATAAATGTCAGAAGTTACAGCATTGAAGTTGTGACGAGAGGAGCTTGCAAGCCTTGTGGAGGACACAAGGATAAGATACACCGACGACGGAATTGGAACCACTCCAGCTGCTTTGGAAACAAGAAGGGCGGATTTTATAGGTGTCGAGGGGATCGAAGGTGATGGTGCTGAAGTAGAGAGCCTAAAGGACTAGGTTAAAGGATTTCTGAAGTTTGTAGCCAAAATGCTTTAGGAGTTGGCTAGGGGTTACAGAGATATAGTGCAATAGAGTCTTGGGAATGAGGACTCGTATATTGTTAAGAAGTTGGGAGGGCCTTGGGCAAAGTGGTGTTGGACTCGTTGCCATTGCTGCCAATTGTAGGTATTTTTTTTTCGTTCACTACTCAGTTGCTTTATGCTGGGCGGCAGCTTGAAACTAATTTTTAATAGGCTTAGCTAAAACCTGAAGTTCTCGTGAGAGAATGAGTGAGCTTCAAGGAGGACGCCGCTGATAGTTGCTGCCACCGTGAAGAAGATGATTGAAAAGTGCCTTTCGGGTTGCTCCAACTCAAATCAACTCGATGGAAGAGAATGGGGACATGGGGAAGAAGAAGAAGAAGAAGTCAATGAGAAAAACTAGTGAAGGGAGATTGGGGGAAGGATTTCATGTTATTCCCTTCTATTGCGAGAGGAAGTGGAAGAAGGGGCAATTTCATAATTTTATTTTTTTATTTTGTCTAAATCATGATGGAAAGGAGGTTTTTGTCAATAACTTTAACTGTTTAGGGGGAGGTTTTTGCTAAAGTAAAACTACAGGGTAGTTTTTTTTGATTGTCAGAAACTTTACGAGAAGTTTTTTGTATTTTACCCTATAGTTTTATATAAGGGTTTTTATTGTTCAATCCACCAGCAGAAATTTTAATCCCTTTTATATATAGGCAAATTTCTTAAATTACCCCTAAGATTTACAAATTTGACTAGCTATACCCCATGTTACATATTGTTTTAAATTACCCTCAAGTTTTTTTGAAAATTGTCTAAAATTTCCCTTATCGTTAACTTTCCGTCAAATTCCAGGTACATGTGACATCAACGTTATAGATATATTTTAAAATTCTTAAAATACCTTTTTTATGGTTCCACTCCATCTCCTTCAGTCTCTGTCTCCATCTTTGACTTTGTCTTTGATTATGATTCTGATTCCGTCTTCGTCTATGTCTTTGGCTTTCACTCCGACTCCGACTCTGTTTTTTATTTCGATTCCGTCTTCGTGTACATCTACGTCTCCGGCTCCAACTTCAATTTTGTCTCTAATTCCAATTTTGATTCCATCTTTGTCTACTTCTCTGGCTCTGGCTTTGACTCCAACTCCGACTTTGTCTCTGATTCTGATTTCGATTCCATCTTCATCTATGTCTCCAGTTCTAACTCTGTCTTTGTCTTCGTCTCTGACTATGATTCCGACTTCGACTTTGCAATTTTTATAGGAGCCCCTCTTTGAAAGCTTTTGTCAGCAACATCACACAAGCCATTAAGCTTCCAAGTACTTGGCATCAACGACAAAAGAACAAATAATGCTTTATCGCCATTATCAATATTCTTCTATGCTCCCATCCTTTGTAAAACCATGCACCTTAGTAAGTCTCACTCCATTCTCCATTTCTAATTCTTCCTATCAACAAGATGAACACCATCATCACCACGTACAAGTCCCGCTCACTCTGCGCAATTAACTAGGAGGCACTTTGTGTTGGGAAATTGGGGTGAGGTATCAGTAAAGTTAACAGGGAGGAAGGAGCGACCGATTTGGTTAAGTTGAAGAGTTTCTTTTGAATAACAGTTGTATCATACTCAGTTTCATCATCTCTGTCACTTTGTCTTGGGAAATTGGGGTCACTGAAACTTGGAGGAGAAGCTCTGAGGTGTGTCTGAAGACACTACCTTTAGAATGTTATTTGCCCCCACTCGGTTTTATTGAGTTTGTTGTTGGGTTATAGGCAAATTCGTTCGCAGGATACAACAGAACCTTGAGCGAGAATCTGCAACTAAMAAAGTTGAAGAGTCTCCAAAGAAACCTTCTGTGAGACTGTAGTAGATCGAATTGAGAGAGACAAAAGCAATTTTCAAAAAACTTGTGTGTGCATTTGCTTGATTTACACTCCTTAAATAATTTCTGATGAGTAATGGACCAGAGGAAGGTGCTGGTTCAGAAAAGGCTCATTGAACAGTCACAATTTCAAACATTGTGACTGTTAAAAAGGTAGTTAACAATTAATGATTATTAACTTTGAGTAGTGCCTCTTGATTACACCTAATCGAATCGTGACCGTTGAAACATCAATAGTTAGCCTCACGCCAAAAGTCAAAGCTGCCCTTCACGAGTCAAGTGGGTGCGCGCGAAGTGCGAGCAAAGTGTGCCTCTAAAGCAGCTCATTGCGCCCTCCATACTCTCCTCTTTATTTCTAAGGAGTGTAAATAAGCTCCTATTTAAAAACTCAAAACAAGTTTTGTAATTTTCCAATGTGGAACAAGTTAAAAACTAGTTTTAGTAAGAGAAAAAAACTATTTTCCAAGACATGTGTGCAGGTGTGTTTCCAAGACATGTGGAACAGCTTCAACGACAACATCTCACTCCCCTTCTTGTTAAAGAGAGCGGTGGTTATTCGGGCATGCACTCATGGTGGCGCTTTAGACATTTATAGAGGCGGTTCCCGACTGACTACACCTTTAGAGAAGAAGATTGAATCGACCGGTGAGTAGAAGTCACAACAGCGATGATGTGGTATTACACTCAAATAGGGGAGGTGAGGTCGATGGGGGAAAGAAGAGTGGGAAGAGAGAGAGAGAGAGAGAGAGAGAGAGAGAGAGAGGGAAGAAGAAGAAGAAGAAATCAAGCCTTTTTTGTCGATTGGAAAAGATGAATGGAGAAGCTCTTCCATTTTCAGTAGGAAAAAATAGTCTTTTTAATTCTTCAGTTAATGGACAATGACAGTAAGGAAGATTTAGGGCCCGTTTGACGCATCTTTCCATGCGGTCTTTTGGTTGTTTACAAGTCGGGCAGACCGATTTTGTCTATTCCCGTTTGGTTCGCAGAAAATCTAGTTGCCAAAAGCCGGAGCGCCGAAAAGACGCGAGAAGCCCATTTTGGGCTGATTTCGGGAAGCTCCAAATGAAGCTTTCCACGTCTTTTGCATTTTATTCTTGTGTAGAAAGACACGAAAAGACGTGTATCTGCCAAACTAGCTTCGGGCTGCTTAGATCTTCATGCAAAAGCTCAATGCGTCTTTTGACTGTCAGAGCTACCAGAAGATCTTCCCAAAAAGGCTTGCCAAACGAGCCCTTAGTCAATTGTCAGCAATAGTAGGGGTACTTTAAGGCAATACTGAAACAGTAAGGGTATAGTTAGTCAATTTCTTAAACCTTAGGGGTAGTTAAAAAAATTTGCCCTATTTTTTTTCAAAGAATGGGGAAAGGGTTTATTTTTTTTTTTTAAAGGTTGATAAGATAATTATGACTATTTTGAAGTAAAAACCTTTAATTAATGCCCCTTTTTTTTGACAGCCTATGTTGTTGAGAGCGTTTTTAGGATGGACACATCACACGCTAATTCATTTATGTTACAAGTAAGCACGAATGTGCTTTGCACGTGGCAATTCTAGATGATGATGATGATGATGATGATAGTAATGATGTATAAAAAATTTTATATTAATATGTATTCTACTTTTT